GTAAGACTAGGCCTGAAATCCGCACAGCGCTAGATGTATAGTGCTTACTGGTTCCCGAGTCTCCGCCAAGGACTGCTCCCTGCTTTGAGGACTTAACTCATTGTCAGATCGAAAATGTCTGGGTAATGATCTTGTTAACATCAGCAGCAGGGAGAAAAAAGCAATGGAATTCCTATCAAAAGAAAGAATAGAAACATTGTCCCATCGACATTAAAAATATAATGTTTAATCCGTGAAAGGCTCTCGCTTGGTCTACATCGCTGAATTCTTTGAAGAGGCATCAGAAAAATGTTGACCAGAGATACGTAGCAGATGGAATTTATCTAGATTTCCAAAAGATCTTTGATAGGATACCAGATAATGGCTGATTAACAACACAGCATGCAGAGTCAGGCGATTGGGAGCAGAATGGATAACTTTGCAAGACAGAATGAAGAGAATAGAATTTAGAGGGTAGGTGTTCTGAGTGGACAAGGTTGAAAGTCCCTCAGAATCATGCTAGAAGCATAATTTAACAGTTTATATTAAATATTTAAACTTTTGAAATGAAGACAATTTCTAAGTTTGTAAATGAAATTAAGCGGGTGGGGAGGAAGGTCAGTACTGAAGAGGCATGAGGCAGAGGAGTGGTGGTGAGAGTGACTAACTTGGGCATCAAGGCTGCGTTTGACCAAGTGTGACATCAACGAACCTTTGCAAAACTAGAGTCAGTAGGAATCGAAGACAAAATGCTCTGCTGGTTGGAGTAATCTTCACTCCAAAATAAACTCTGCACGGGTTAGTGTTCTAGGCCCAGTCATCTTCAGCTGCTTCATCAGTAACCATCCCGCCATCATTAGGCCAAAGGTGGGGATGTTCGCTGAAGATTGTGCAGTGTTCAGCAACTTCTGTGATTCCTCAGGTAGTAAAGCCATGTCCATCTGCAGCATGATGTATCCAGGCTTAGGCTGACAAATCACAAGGAAAATACATGCCAAAAAGATGCCAGACGATGATTGAAGCAACAATAACTATTGTTAAATTCCTCACAATCAGTATTCTAGGGGGTTACCACTAGATACTGAACTGTGCTGGCCATTTAAATGTAGTGGCTTCAACAGCAGGTCAGAGATTATAAATCCTGCAGTGAGTAACTCACTGCCTACCCTCCCAAAGTCTGTCCAACATCTATCTACAAGGCAGAAGTGAAGAGTGTGACAGAATGCTCCCCACTTGCTGGATAAGTGCACTCCCACAACACGTGAGAGCTTGACAATATCCAGGATAAAGCAGCCTGCTTGACTGGCACCACATCCACAAACGTTCACTTCCTCCACCACTTTTGCTTGGTAGTAGCAACATGTAGCACTGCTGAAGCTCACCAAGACACTTTTGACAGCACCTTCCAAATGCACAACTATGACCAGCTAGGTAGATAAGGGCAGCAGATACATGAGAAAATCACGTGCAAGTTCCCTCTAAGCCAGTCACCATCCTAACTCTTAAGTATATTGCCGTTACTCAGTGTCACTGTCTCAACATCCTGGAACTCCCTCACAGCAGTGTAGGTGTACCTACAACAAATGGTTTGCAGCATTTAAAGAAGGTAGCTCACTACCATCTCCTTGAGGAGGATTGAGGATAGGCAATAAACACACCCCCCCCAAATGAGACCCAAATCATCTGTATAAATTTAGAAAAGGGCCGCAACAAATCACGAATGGTAACAAACTTGCAAAATGGCAAATAATTGCAAATGAATTTGAACAAAAGGATGAAATACGGTAATACTGAGAAAATAAAATCGATAAAGATCACATATTGTTTGGAAAGTAATTATACAAATAATATAAATTAAAACATCTTTGTGTACAGATGTATACCCAAATTAACCTGTCGCAATTTTTAGTCATAAAACCATTAAAGCAATTCAATCATTAGGATTACAGTAGGTTAAAATTGCAAAGTTAGAAAAAGCATTAAACATGTATTGGTTAGATCTCTCATTGTAACTCAATACATGGATTACATTGGAAACTAATTACAGATAAACCCATGACTGGTCTGTGGACTTGGGATTTTGTGTTCATTGCACTACTAAGGTGCTCAGAAATGTCATCAAACAAAAATATGACACTGGGACCCTTGAGATATTGGGGCAGGTGACAAAAAGCTTGGTCCAAAAAAAAATTTTAAAGGCTGAGCAAAAGATGGAGAGATGTTTGTATGGGTCTGAAAGAGTTAACACTGAGAAGATGAGCATCTTCCCACTCCCCCTGCCCACTATAATGAGACCTAATATCCGGTTCCACCTCATCATCTTATAACAATGTCTATCTGATTAATCGTGCTACATGTAACTCCATTATGCTGTTCTGTATCTGTAAAATATTCCTTACCGTCCTGTTTTGATACCATCACTTTGATAACTTGTTATGATCTCTCTACCTTAATTAGTTAGTACAGTTTTGGATTACTTGTTACTTTGGTTAGACCCTTGGCATGCAACTCTTATTCTTATCATGTTATTTCCAGCCATTTGGCTTGTTCCAGCACCAACTTATTTTTAATTTTTTGTAATTATCTCTCTGCCTCAATTATTTGGGTTATAGGACATTTCTTCACTTGCTATTCAGCTGTTCACACTTTACTCACACCGCCTGACACATCTGATCACCTGCCTGTCGACACTCCACTCACACCATTTGTATGATCTTTTGATCTCTCTGCCTATAAATTATGTGTCTGTGTGCTACTCTTCACTCAACCTGATGAAGGAACAATGCTCCAAAAGCTTGTGATTTCAAATAAACCTGTTGGACTATAACCTGGTGTTATGTGACTTCTGACCTTGTCCACCTCAGTCCAACACCAGCATCTCCACATCATGTCTTACTAATGTAACCCACAATAAGCTGCTAACATGCAATAAACTGTACTTTGTTCAATACATGAGCTTCTACTACTTAGACTCCTTTTATTTATTCATGGGATGTAGGTGTCACTGGTTGGGCCAGCATTTATTGCTCATCCCTATTTGGGAAGGTAATGGAGAAATGCCTTATTGAACCACTGCAGTCCATTTGCTGTACATACAGCCATAATTAATGAGGGAGCCTGCACATGGTGTTCCTAATTATCTGCTGCTCTTGTTCTGCTAGGTGGTTGTAGTCATGGTAAAAAGTGCTTTTACACTATCACACTAGACAGATCCTGGAGATCCCAACACTTATAGAGGATGGTGGCAGCAAACCTACCACATGGTGAGCTACGTTATAGATTTTATTTCACTGCCTCATCAAACATGCTGGCGGCAATGGAGCTCTGAAGATTTTTCAGCATCTTCAGACCCTGTTTTAATTTGCATGATACTGCAATAGCCAGCAGCAGGGAAGAACTGAACATTTAAGAAGAAGAAACCCTTGTGCTTAGATTCAACAAGGGAGAATCTCTACAGTCAATGGTAAAGGCATTTCGGACCTGGTAAGAGAAGACAGCTACGGGAGAATTAGAAGCTTCCTAAAGGAGGAAAATTCCTGAACAAGAAGGCATTCCACATGGACTGAGAGAGCTTACTGCAGCAGTGATCTATAGGAGCAGTTGTGAGTGTGCTCAGCTGAACAGCAATTCAACATATAAAGTACCATTAATACATTTACAAGCCCTGGGAAAACCTTAAAACAGGCTGGGGAATCAAAGTAAGGAAAGTATTTGCAGCTTAGATCAACTTTTGCTGCTACAATGGGCAGGCACCACATGGCAACTCTACAGCAAGGAAATCACAGGATCTACTGTACAAAAGGGTGCCATTCAACCTATCATGCCAAGGACTACAAAAACATTTTAAATGGAGGCCATAGACCCAAGGTGTTGTGAAGCCAGAATTAAAATGACAAAATGAAGATTAAAAGCCCTGGTCTAATGGAAAACTAAGTTTTTAGATTTTATTAAGGGTGTAGAAAAGATAATTGTTCAGGAAAACGGTGAAAGAAATTGGGACCAGTATTTGTACCATTATTAGACTGTGGGAAGTATCAAGAAAAGCATGTGAAATAGAAATCAATTATTATGCGCCTGAACAGCGGGATTTATCCAGTGAAATAGTGGAAAAGGCAGAAAAAAATTTCACTACAGCAGCACAGTGTAATGGCACTGCTATTACTGCAAATTAAAACCTTTTAAATGAGGACAATAAATAATCACATTGGTAAAACATGGAATCAGAAATTATATTTCAGACAGATTTGGTTTCAGTGATGGACCAAATAGAACAACTTGGAGAAAATAATTCTGAACATATAGAATTCGGTACTAAATCAGAAGTTGAACATACAGTTTGCCTTCTTTACTGCCTGCTGAACCTGCACACTAATTTTTAGCATGGGTCTATGCGGAGATCCAGGTCTCATTGAATTCTGTCTCAATTTACAGCCATTCAAATAATAATCTGCCTTGAGATTTTTGCTACCAAGTGGATTATGACACTTTTATCCACATCATACTGCATCTGCCATGCATTTGTCTATTCACTCAGCCTGCCTAAATCACACTGCAATACTTCTGCATCTTACTCACAGCTTACCGTTCCACCAACTTTGTGTCACGTGCAAATTTTGAGAATATTGCATTTAGTTCTCTCATCTAAACCATTAGCACTTAGTGTGACTAGCTGGGGTCCTATTCTTGATCCATGCTGTACTCCACTAGTCACTGCCTGCCATTGAAAAAGACCCATTTATTCCTGTTGTTCCCCATCTGCAAATCAATTTTCTATTCATATCAATAGGTGACAGTAAACCTACTAGATGATGAAGCATAGACTCATTTTTGCTTCAAACAAAATAGAGTTGTTTATAAAATGATAAAACAGCACTGGGGCCTAGACAGCTGTGTATCATGTTATGTATTTCAACTGTCCATAAGCCTTGAGGCTTCAACACTTAAGTTGTAGCTAGAATGCGTAATCACTTATGATGCTGTGTATTGTTGCATTGATTTTCATTTTTGTTGTGATTTTATAGGCAATGCCACACATTTTTTCAATCATTGCCATCACAGGACCACAGCCCTATGTCTTTCCAGAGCTCCATGGGAAAGAATAAGTTGCAACTTGCACTTTTGCAGTCAGCTCCTCCTCAGGTCCAACCAGATCCTGTGTCAAACCAGCAACTTTCAGTTGATGCAGTCGCAATTGTGGCAAGGGCTCAGCAGATGGTGGAGATACTATCAGAAGAAAACCGTGCCCTTCGCCTAGAACTGGAGGACTTCTATGAAAGAAGTACAAAACTCCAAAAGGTACTATGGTTCTTTATTTCAAATTGAATGCAAGCCAAGTTCCAAATGATCTAAAGATGGTTTATTGATGAGGTGTTGTAGCAGTTGTTGACCAAGTGACTGTTGTTTTATATAACTTGCAGATTTTAATTACTGCCATTGGTTTCTTTATACTGCAAAGCAAAAGCATGAATCAATATCATTATGAGTACACATATGAAAGAAATCTAAGTATTTCTATAATATTTCAGCAAATAATTTTCATTTTTGTTCCACAAATGTCAACAGTGATGTGCCAACAAAGTATACTTGATGTCCTGATGTGGGATCTTGTTGGGCAGGGAGTACAATCAGAAATCATTGCAAAGGGAACTGCTTGATTCACAGGATTTACAATTTTTCAGCTGTAGCATCTGTTGATTGTGCAATGGTATCTGATTTAGTTCTCCTTCAAAGGTGAAAGAAGGGAATGAGATGACTAGGTATAGTCTTGGTATAGATTACTTGGAATAAAATTATCTCGTAGCTTCTGACATTCTCATGTCTAGTTTGCATTACAAAGTCATTTGGGTGGAATGTTGAGGCTTCTGTGAGGGAACTTCCTCAACATTGCCTACTTTTGAGGCTGGACATTTCGGCATATTCAGCCAATTTTTTTCCAGTATGGTGAATGCATGTAAGATCAGTCTTGTGGACATTGGTGCTAAGCGCAGCATCTTGTTGGTGTTAATTAGTAAACTCCAAAGTGAACCTGCAGCTCCACTGAGGGTTTCAGTTACACATAGTTCTAGAGTTGCCAGTATTGGCTGTAGTTCAAGTGGCCAAAATGCATTGTATGCATAGATAAACTAAGTTCTCCATACTTAACATTGTGTCTCTCCCATTCTATGAACTAAAGGGGCTTAAAAAAAGTATCATCATTTTGTAGGCTTACCTTGAATGGTAATCTATACAGGAGCTCTCCCAATGAGATGACCTTAAGTTGTCCTCCATCTAAATACTTCGCTTCTGCTGTCACCTGTACTTACTCCTTGATACTTCTATGTACTTCACCTTATTCTTCCATTCTGATATTTGAATCAGAGCCCAATCTAAATATATATAAAACAGATTTTGGTGGCAGATGTACTAAGTATTTTTTATGTAGTGAGGTGAAAGGGTCAGCATCCTTAGGAATTACAACATTTGCCTCCTTAGGGACTTTTGGGAAACACAAAAATAACAAATGCTGCAATATCACCAATAAGGGGAAGGCAACAGCCGAGTGGTATTTTCACTGGATTGTTAATCCAGAGACCCAGATAATGTTCTGGGGACCCAGGTTTGAATCTTGCCACGGCAGACGGTGGAATTTGAACTCATTTAAAAAAGCTGGAATTAAGTGTTCAGTGATGACCATGAAACAATTGTCGGAAAAGCACATCAGGTTCACTAATGTACTTTTGGGAAGGAAGCTTCCATTCTTATCTGGACTGGCCCACACATGACTCCAGACCCACAGTAATATGGTTTACTCTTAACTGCCCTCTGGGTAATTAGGGATGGGAAATAAATACTAGCCTAAATCTGTGAAGGAATAATAAAAAAAAGCTTCAATGTGTTGTGATGTTTGCAAAGTCTCCGGCAGGTGGGAGGCTCCAGTTGGGAAAGCTTAATAGGTAGAAAAAGCAGTGTCAAGGTAGATATTGATCTGAAAATGTGGGATTCTTTATTTTATGACCATTGTTGCTTCAGTAGTGTTTGCTAGTAGGTATAACACTGTGTTGCTGCATACAGTGTGTTTATGAGTAGACAAAAGGGAATTTCAATTTAACTGTGTTGGTTCTCTTTGCAGTAGAAACTTGACAATTGTATCGACAAACCTGCTTTAGCAAATGCCAAAAAACCACTACTGTTTATGATGCTGATTGGAAGCATGCTGCAACTTGAGACTAGAAGGAATGGGAGACAATAATACATAATAAATATTATGGGAATACCTGTCACCTTCCTTCAGGAAAAGAGGCAGTGAAACTGAGAGGAGTTAGATTCTAAAAGTTGCTGATTAAATGTCAGTTACCTTCTATTTTAATTCTGTGTAAATGTTTGATTTGATGTGTGTCACTCCAAACATGAATAGAATTATATTTGTATAAAAATGAAACTGCGTGTTCAATGTAGCCATAATAAATAGATAGTCAAAATTGTAAGAAACTTTACAAAATTCATTAAGCATTAGAAGTGATGGAGTTTTGAATATATGCCAACCAATTCATTAAAAATGTGACACTGAAAATTTAAGTGCAATTTAGCACTATTTATGCTTTCAATTTTGCCAACATGTGCATCGCATTTCCCCTTCCTGCATTCCATCATCAATGATAAGATCTTCAATGTGAAGGTTCTGTGAACCTTTACAAAACCTATTTCAAAACTTATCTCTTGAACCTTTGTTTCAGTAATCTTCCTGAAATTTATCTGCAATTCTTGGATGGTATCCAACTTTTCCCCTTTTCCCCTGTCATCACTGAATAGTGCCTAGGAGCCGAAGATATTATGTACAGATTTTTCATATTATATTTGATGTATGATAGTATCGAATTTGCACTGCAATCTTGACATTCATTTAGTAAAGGATTATATATGCCAAAAATATTATTTTTTCCTTAGATGCTCTTAGTATTTCCAATAGGATTAGTGATAGTTTTTTTTATGTATACACCAATCTTTTTTTGTGGTTTCTATTTTCATACTGTTTTCTAGTTACAAAATGTACTTTTTTGAAGACTTGGTAAGTTTTTTATTTGAGAACATCTACACAGTGTACTAAATACAGTGCTAAATTACAAAAAAGAATCCATTTTTACACTGAGAGATAGCAAGAACTGCAGATGCTGAGTTCAGAGATAACACAGTGTGGAGCTGGAGGAATACAGTAGGCCATGGCAGCATCAGAGGAGCAGGAAAGTTGACGTTTTGGGTCGGGACCCTTCTTCAGAAATGGGGAGGGAGAAGGGAGCTCAGAAATAAATAGAGGAGGGGTGGACTGGGGAAGGTAGGCGGGATGGTGATAAGTGAGTGCAGGTAGGGAGTGGTGGAGATTGGTCAGTGAGGTGGTAAGGGCGGATAGGTGTGAGAGAAGGTGGACAGATTGCATCAGGTCTAGGAGGGAGGCAATGGCCTAGTGGTATTATCACTGGACTGTTAACCCAGAGACCCAGATAATGTTCTGGAGGCCTGGGTTTGAATCCCACCGCAGCAGATGGTGGAATTTGAATTCAACAAATCTCTGGAATTAAGAATCTAATGATGACCACGAATCCATTGCCGAATGTCGGGAAAAACCCATCTGGTTCACTGATGTCCTTTAGGGAAGGAAACTGCTATCCTTACCTAGTCTGGCCTACATGTGATTCCAGACCAACAGCAATGTGGTTGACTCTAAACTGCCTTCTGGGCAATAAATGCTGCCTAGCCAGCGATGCCCTCATCCCATGAATGAATAAAAAAAAGACATGGGGATGAGAGGGAGGGTTGGTCGTGGGATGAGGCCAAGGGTGGGTAGATTTTAAAAATGGTGAAATCTACGTTTAGGCCATTGGGCTGCAGGCTCCCAAGGCAGAATATGAGGTGCTGCTCCTCCAATTTGCGGGTGGCGTCAATGTGACACTTTCCGTAGGCAGGTACTGAGAAAGGAGATGTTCCGTAGGCAGGTACTCCCAATTCCTCCACCTCCACTGCGTCTGCTCCCAAGATGAGGCATTCCACTCCCACACATCCCAGATGTCCTCCTATTTCAAGGACTGCAACATCCCCCTCCGGTGATCAAAAGTGTCTTCAACAGCATCTCTTGCGTTTCCCACACCTCTGCCCTTACTTTTCCTCTCCCCAACAAAAATAAAGACAGATTCCCCCTTGTCCTCACATATCACCCCACGAACCACTGCATCCAACGTATCATTCTCTGCCACTTCCGCCACTGACAATCTGACCCCACAACCAAAGAGATATTTCCCTCCCCACCTCTATCTGCCTTTCGTAGGAACCTCTTTCTCCACGACTCCCTTGTCCGCTCCACAATCCCCAGTAACCCCACCACCCCGGCACCTTTCCCTGCAACCGCAGAAAGTGCTATACCTGCCCCTACACTTCCCCCTTCACCTCCATTCAAGACACAAAACAAAGCTTCCACATTAGACAAGGGTTCACCTGCACATCCATCAACTTAATCTACTGCATCCGCTGCTCCCAATGTGGCCTCCTCTACATCGGTGAAACCAAGCAGAGGCTTGGAGACCACTTTGTAGAGCACCTGCACTCTGTTCGCGACAAACGACAACACCTTCGCAAACCATTTTAACTCCCCCTCCCACGCCCTGGGTGACATGTCCACCCTGGGCCTCCTCTAGTGTCACAATGACACCTCTCCCAAACTGTAGGAGCAACACCTCATATTCCACCTCAGGAGCCTACAGCCGGATGGCCTAAACACGGATTTAACCAGTTTTAAAATCTCCCCACCCGCCCGCCACATCCCATGACCAACCCTCCCTCTCTTCCCCACCTCCTTGACCTGACACAATCTGTCCATCTTCTCTCCCACCTATCCGCCCCTCCCACCTCACTGACCAATCTCCACCACTCCCTACCTGCACTCACCTATCACCATCCCACCTACCTCCCCCAGCCCCACCCCTCCTCTCTCTATTTATTTCTGAGCTCCTTTCCCAGTCCCCATTTCTATAGAAGGGTCCCAATCCAAAACGTCAGCTTTCCTGCTCCTCTGATGCTGCCTGGCCTGCTGTGTTGCTCCAACTCCACACTGTGTTATCTCAGTTTTTACACTTGTCTGTTACTTGAGTATATCCAGCTCTGCCAAGCATGGAGCATCAACGCTGATTAAGATAACACTTACTACACAAGATGTAAGTTCCATTTTTCTCGTACCTCATTTGAAGGGGCAGTAGAAGTCATTTTAATTTGAGTTTTCAATCAAATCAGTTGCCTGTTAGTGCACTTTTCCTGATTTTAATTTCCATGTG